GTCAGAATGCGCCATCTAGAGTTTCATGACTGAACTATATATTAATCCATATGCCAAAAACACATTTTCTTATATTTTGTTTATATATGTTATATGTGTATTTCAGATCATGTAATACACATATAATATAGATATTTCCCCGTAACTATTGTCCCACAGATTAAAATCATGACAGAACTGCAAAACAATTTGCAGTTCAATACAAATGGGATTTATGGAATTTCAGGAAGCTCTGCATAAAACGAGCAGGTCATATTAAACACATCCTGTCGGGCTGAAATGCTCTTTCTATTTTCAGCCAGTGTTTAATGAACTCTTGTGAAGTTGCCCAAACAATGGAGGATAGTTACACATTCTACAACAGCTAGATACACTATGTGTACACATTAAGCCAGAGCCTTTTATTGATTAAACATGTAATGTATAATTTTTTTTATGTTACAATATTTTTTTCATATTCCAATTTAATACACAGTGTTAGCTATAAGTAAGCCAATTGTAAGTTGATTTCTCTAAAAGTTTAACACTCTTTAAAAAAGCATTGATCTGTCTGAATGAAAAAGAAAATAAATTTTGAGAAGTTTAAGCATTTCAAACGGCAGCGAGCACCTTTATTTGACTAACCTATTGATCACTTTATTATTATTATTATTCTGGCTGTACTGTATCCTTCTCTCTGTGTTTTTTTTTAGTGCCCGCTGCTGTTTCTGACATAACCGTCACTAACAGTGGTCCAGATTTTCTGAATGTGTTGTGGAAGGCAGCAGAAGGAGATGTGGACTATTACATGGTGATGCTAAAGGACCAGGAGAAGATTGTACACACACTCACTGCGTCTAAAGCAACCGCAGAGTCTGTGTTCAGGAGTCTGGTTTCTGGCCGACTGTACACCATCTCCATTACCACACACAGCGGCAGTTACAGGAACCAAACACTTGTACAGGAGAGAACGCGTAAGCAATAATAGTAGCATTGTCCTTACAGTTTTTAAATTACAGAAATTTCAAAGCAAAATCAAAACAAAAACTTGTGACACTTTTTCCCATCACAATGTTTTTCATTAAATCGTGATTACAATAATTAAATGAATCAATTACATTTTGTTCTCCCCAGATACTTAGAGTTGTACTTTACAAATATACTTTTATAATTCAACTAATATATATTTTGTTCCACATTTCAATATTATGTTTACACTAGGCTACTAATAACTGAAAGGGCATTAATTGTCTTGTCAACTATTTTATTTTAGGGCCCTTGACAAGTTTAATGTTTTTGGGAGGTTTCCATAAAGCTTATTTATCAGTCTTTTTCCCCCTCATGTGTTGTTTTTATTGTTACATTATATTCACAATAATTTGAGAATATTAAAATTGCACTATTTCTTCTTTCAGAGCCATCCACCGTCCAGAACCCCGCCTCCATCCACTCAGCCAGAGATGACTTTCTAAAGGTTTACTGGAATCACGCATCTGGGGATTATGACTTTTATGAAGTGGCGATCGAGTATAACAGCACACGTCTTCAAAGTCAGAAGCTCAATAGGACACAAAGTGAATGTGAGTTCAATGATCTGATTCCAGGATGTCTCTACACTGTGACCATCAGCACCTGGAGTGGCCAGTACAACTCGACTGTCTCTATACATGGCCGAACATGTGAGTGACATCATGTTTTAGCATCTGTTTTTCCCATTATCAGGGGCAGGCACTGATGTTTTCGCAATCTCTCATTAAAAAAAATAATATTAAGACACTGCAAATCACTGTCAGTGTGAACGCCACTTAAATTTGGAATCGGTATCAAATTATACTTAAAGGTTTTTGATGTATCACATTAATTAATTTGACCTTTAATGTGATACGTACGCTTTGATATAGTGATAAATCATAGCTTTGTCATTGGTTAACGTCATTGGTGAGACATCATCCCGTTATGGATGACAGTGTAATTCAGAAGGATATTAAAGGATATCCGGACTAAAGAGCTTCAGCTTCTGATTGTCTGAAGTGCGAAGCTCTCAGGCATGCCGGAAGTATGGCAAGGTGACAGCGTCCAGATTCATATTGAGCACAAAGCTTAAGTAGCAAGAGCTTGAGATGATGGCATGGACTCAACAATGAGTATAGAAAAGAATGCAGGACACAATTTTTGTTTTATATCCAGCTGTAGTATTTACTCAGTGCAATTTAAGCCTAGTTCACACTACATGACTTAAAGGGGTCATATGATGCGATTTCAATTTTTCCTTTCTCTTTGGAGTGTTACAAGCTCTCTTGGTGCATAAAGAAGATCTGTAAAGTTGCAAAGACTAAAGCCTCAAATCCAAAGAGATTTTCTTTATAAAAGACTTGTCCACGCCCTCCTAAAACGCCTCGTTTAAACACGCCCCCACATGTCTACATCTCTGTGTGGGAAGATTTGCATAACACCGCCCAAATGTTCACGCAAAGAAAGAAAGCGTAACTTTTATTCTCGCTGTAGTATTGTTGCCGCCGGCGCCATGTTGTGGAGATGCTGTGTGTTTAGTTGTGAAAGCGAAACTACTTTGTTTGGCCTTCCAAAAGAGGACGATATCCGCTTCGTCATGCCTAGAGCTGATCTGTGGTGGTCACTGAGGAAATACATTCTGTTTGTATTTCAGTCTGTGCTCAAAGGCTGGATTTATGTTTACACTGCGCGATACGCAACGCAATGCGTAAAAACACAGTATAAGTCATTATAATCAGTAATTATGTCCCCACTGGATGCAACAAATGCCTTGTTTGGGTTTTATTGGTTTTGTCTCGCCGTGCCGGGAGACGGCATCACAGTATGTGAGGGGCGTAACATTTCCGTCACACGCTTGAGGTATTCGGCCAATCACAATGCACTTGATAGCTGGCCAATCAGCGTACACCTTGCTTTTCAGAACAATGAGCTTTGTAAAAATCGACGCGTTTCAGAAAGGCGGGGCATAGAGGAGCAACAATAATGTACATTATGTGGAAAATAATGTGGTTTTTTTACCTTAATCCGCATAAACACATTGCATTACACCAAATACACAACATAATGTTATTTTTAGCAACTGACCCCTTTAAAACGTCGGCAGATTGCTATCTGTCTTGAAGTCATTGTGGAGTTCACACTACGCGACACTACATAAATGATCTGCAACAGAAGGTCACACACTACACAAGCTGACAACAACTCTGTCACCCAACGACTCTACACGATCCACAAACCACGTTTTGTCACGAAAACACACGCGAGAATTTTCACTTGGATGTTATAAGTTGCACCGAGTAAATACAGATGGATAAAACAAAAACTAAGACTGTATCCGTCTTCATTTCAGGCTGCAAAGCAACAAAATGTGACTGTTTTAAAGGGGGGTGATTCTTTTCTATACCCACTGAATATCCAGTCTATAAAATCTGATGAAGGTGTGTGGAGAGGCCATATCACAAACCTTGTGAAGGGAAAGCCTAATAACAATGCCTTAGAGGCAGCCATACTTCTCGTAGAGTGGGCTCTTACGAGGCAAAGGAAGACCACGTGCCTCGTAAGCCACAAAGATAGTCTTTACAATCCGCTAGCTTTTTCTTTGCTTTGATGCTGAGATTCCCCATCTGGGTGAACTAAAGCAGACCAACAGCTGGTCCAATTTAAACCACTGAGAAGAGTGGTGGACGTAAGAATTAATTGCCTTAGGCCCCGTGTCCACCAAAGCGGTTTTTTTTTCCTAGGCTAGCGTATTTTTTCAATTATTTTTCAACGCTGAGCATCTTTTTCACGCTGGCATTACTTGAGAATTGAAGAATGTTCAACTTTGGATAAAACGCAGCGCTCATCACTGTCACTTTTGAGTCAGCTGACCAATCACAGTGAAGGAGGGGTGGGACTAATACCAATCAACTGTCACACCCTGCTTGTACTACGACTGATCTGAACAACAATGGAGAAGTTAAAATTGCTTGTCTCAGAGTATTTATGTCTTTACCAGATAGAATTGCCGGACTACCATATTATTGTTATAAAAAATAAAGTTTGGAGAAACATTTCATTCGCGATGCATCTGCCATATTACTTCAGCGGATATTCCGATAGCGTCTCAACTGAAAAAACTGCTGTGTTCTCAAGTGCTCACAGCTGGGAGTTTTCAGCAGAGCGCCTGGAGTTTTCAGCTGGCTAAAAACGCTTTGGTGGACATGCGGCCTTAAACGGGCAAAGCAAGTTGAGCTCCTCTTGATCCACCTGTCTGAAAGGGAGGAGGTCAAAACGTCTGCAAAATAATAGAGCATTGGTAGGCACCTTAGGCACATTACCCAGTCTAGAGTGAAGAAGAGCTTTTAGCATGCCAGGAGCAAACTCAAGGCAGGAAGAGGCAACAGACAGGGCCTGCAATATCTCAGCAGAAAAGCGATCCTGAAGGAACTCCTGCACTGAATCAATCAGGCAGCTAACTGGGTCCAACTGGTGTTCTCTGCACCACAAAGTGAAGAGTCTCAATTTCAAAGCGTACTCTTTTCCTCATGGAGATAGCTCTAGAATTAAGAATAGTCTCAACAATCAACCAACAAGAACCAAGTTTTCTTCTACATCACTAGGGAACAAAGGCATCTGTGCATATAACCCCAATGATGTGAAATGGGTTGCCCCTTGGGGAAAACTCCTTGGTCTTGATCCACCACTGTCTCATGTACAGCAGGAATCACTTTGGACGCAGCTGCCAAGAGTCCCAACAGTCTTTGGAACTATTTCATAGTGACAGCTTGGGCTAGCCTGATCTAGCCTAATGCTGAGAGAACCAACTGAATACGAGCAGGAGACTGACATGCCTGCATAAAAGTCGAGTCCTATATCCACCCTAGAAAAGTGGTTCTCTGTAGTGGAAAAAGCACATTCTTCTTAGAGTTCAGCCTTAACCCCAAGCATCTCATGTGGGCGAGAACAACATCTCAATGCTGAGCCAACATTTCCTTAGGATGAGCTAGAATTAGCCAGTCATCGATATAGCGGAGTACACGGATGCCCTGGAGTCGCAAAGGAGCCAGTGCTGCATCCATGCACTTCGTCAATGCGTGGTGTGTCAAGGTTAGGCCGAATGGAAGAACCCGATATCGATAAGCTTTGCCCCTGAAAGAAGTAGTGAAGTGAAGTCACTTCTTCTTCACTTCACTTCACTTCTGAGCTAACCTCAGCTAAACAATGACACTATTGTTTTTATTTATTTATTTATTTATTTACAGTAGCTGCTTTACAGCAGAATTGGTCTCTGTTTGCATCTTTGAATATATTTTTTTAAATTAATCCCTGTAAAGCTGCTTTGTATAAAGGGCTGTATAAATAAAGGCGACATAGATCATGTGTGTCACCTCTTGTAATGTAACGCACATTTATCCTAAACGCCTGCTTACTGTTCGACTCACAATGACAGAGCACAAAGACGTTCCCATCGGAGTATATTGAGACTCTGAAAGATGCAAACAAACAAACAATAAATAAATAAATAAAAGGCCAAACGAATATATAAATTACTTGACCCTATTGGTTACACTTTACTTGAAGGGGTGTGCATAAGACTGACATGACACCTTCATAATCATGACATGACACCTACATAATCATGACATGACACACTTTGTACTTTACTTACATTTAATGTGCTTTCTGTGGACATAAAATCACTTGTACATTTCTTTTGATGCCGACATCTTAACGTCTTTGACCCATGTATGTATGTATGTATGTATGTATGCATTTATTTATTTTCTTTTGTATGTATGTATGTATGTATGTATGTATGTATGTATGTATGTATGTATGTATGTATGTATGTATGTATGTATGTATGTATGTATGTATGTATGTATGTATGTATGTATGTATGTATGCATTTATTTATTTTCTTTCTACTTTCTAGTAGGAGTAAAGATGTAATCAGTGGACTACAATAAACAATCTTATTTCACCCTTGTGTTTTTCAGTTCCGGGTGCTGTGGGTAATTTGTCCCTAACAGAGTATGGAACCAGTTTTCTGAGAGTGAACTGGGCATCTGCACCAGGAGATGTCGATAACTATGAGGTTCAGATTCTCTTCAATGACACACAGGTGTCACCAGCTGTGAATCTGATCTTTGACCCATGTATGTATGTATGTATGTATGTATGTATGCATTTATTTATTTTCTTTCTACTTTCTAGTAGGAGTAAAGATGTAATCAGTGGACTACAATAAACAATCTTATTTCACCCTTGTGTTTTTCAGTTCCGGGTGCTGTGGGTAATTTGTCCCTAACAGAGTATGGAACCAGTTTTCTGAGAGTGAACTGGGCATCTGCACCAGGAGATGTCGATAACTATGAGGTTCAGATTCTCTTCAATGACACACAGGTGTCACCAGCTGTGAATCTGAGCAGTACGGTTAGGGAACACATGTTCTCCACGCTCACACCAGGTCGGCTTTACAAGATCGTGCTGTCTACTCACAGCGGGTCATACCAGCGTGCAGAGATCTTTGAGGGCCACACAGGTACTGTAAGGTTTTACTTTTTATTGTTCATGTACATATAATAATAATCATGTATATATATACTGTATATATATATATTCTTGAATAAGAAATAACCATAATAACATTGTGAATAATGATAATAGTCTTTTAGATCTGCTTTACAGCAAAAAGCAACCTGGACATATTTTTGTGAAATTCCCCTATAATTATAATACGTTTTATAATGAAGCTAACTATTGTAGCATTGCATCAAGCAGTGGTTTATGAGGTACAGTATTATAAAAAAAAAAAAAAAGTAAATCCCTTGCGCTAAATTTGAACAGATTTAATACTGATTATGTGTTGAATTAAAGGATTTGAATCCAAATGTATCATTATCATCATCACAGTTTGTGCCTTTTTTCCCATTTTGCCAACCCAGTACCCAGTCAGGTTCGGAGTGTTCGTCTCAGTGCTGGCACCACAGACAGCAGTCTCAGAGCCTCTTGGTCCTCTGGTGATGGAGACTTGGACTTTTGCTCAGTGTATCTGTTTCATGAGACACATGTCCTGGACATCAGACATGTTCCTAAACACATCACACAGACAGAATTTCACAACCTGGTACCTGGTCAAATGTACTCAGTAACTGTGCAGTCGGTCAGTGGAACGCAGACGAATAACAGTACAACTAGTGGCAGAACAGGTGTGAAATACACATATTAACTGTATTTACATGTCAGAACTAGATCTTCTAGTGGAAATATGATACTACATGAATTTGATTAATACAATAATGTTGTCTCAGGGAGACAAGAAGTGTTTGAAACCAGAAAGTGTAGTCTAATGTGTGCTTATGTGTGTTTCAGACCCCTCCACAGTCACCAACCTGCGGGTAGATAATGAACTCAGCACACACAATCTGTTAGTGAGCTGGACGGCAGCTGTGGGTGTTTGTGATGGATACAGTCTACAGTTACTAGATGAGAGTGACCAAGTTATCGCCAGCGCTTCTGTACACTTCTCCGTTACTAACAACCACCACCTGTTTAAAAATTTAACTCCAGGAAGGTGGTACACAGCACACATTCAGACACTCAGTGGCACTGCCAAAAGCAAGGACATCACTGCCGACGGACAAACATGTAAGACACATATCTTGTAGCATGTTTTTCAATGTGTATTTACATTATGTCATCAGTTCACCACACGACTGAATCTCATACATGTATTTTGAGTTTTGATTTTTTTTAAGTCATCCAGTTAATTCCACATGTATAAAACCAAACCCCACAATACATTAAAATTCTTAGACCAATAAGCCAAAAATAATTTTCATTTTATGACCAGTAACCAGTAAATGGAAGATTTATATAAATATATACTGTATATATATATATATATATATATATATATATATATATATATATATATAGTCTAAATACATTTAAAATAAAGTAAAAAAAATCAGTTATATTTTATCTACATTATAACACATCTTACTATCTAGCATTAAGAGTACTTTGAGCTCTGTTTAACACATTTTACTTCAAATAGATAAATTCTGCAGAATTCCAGAGATTTTCCAACCAAGTTAATGGAAAAAAAAGATTCCAAGTCTTTCCCAGAATCACGTAATGGCAATTTTACAAGACCTGATGTCCTAATCTCCTCAGGTCCAGCAGCAGTGACCGGGCTATACATATGCTCCAACATGAGCACTGAACTTTCGTTCTGCTGGGCTGCACCGGAGGGATGGGTGGACAGGCTTGATCTGTATCTGTACGATCAGGTTGAGCAAATACAGTCCCACAGGACACTGGGAGAAGATTCTCTGGGCTGGTCCTTCACACACCTGCTGCCGGGGACGCTGTATAAGATGATGATCATCAGCAGGAGTGGGAAGCTGAGTAGTCAGTCATCTATATGGGCACGTACAGGTGAAAACTGAAGCTCTGCTCTATATGTAATATTTCCTAGTTAAAATGCTTCACAAGAGTTACCTGCTATCGCTAAAAATATCCCGTCACTCTTCAGAAAATTTATTTATTAAAGGTCATATGATGCGATTTCAATTTTTCCTTTCTCTTTGGAGTGTTACAAGCTGTTCATGCATAGATAAGCTCCCTAAAGTTGCAAAGACTAAAGTCTCAAACCCAAAGAGATATTCTTTATAAAAGTTAAGACTCATCCACGCCCCCCTAAAACGCCTCGTTTAAACACGCCCCCACATGTCTACGTCACAATGTGGGAAGATTTGCATAACGCCGCCCAAATGTTCACGCAAAGAAAGAAGGCGTAACTTTATTGTTGCTCCCTCGCTTTTCAGACCGATGAGCTTTGTAAAAATCGACACGTTTCAGAAAGGCGGGCATAGAGGAGAAACAATAATGTACAGTATGTGGAAAATACACCAAATACACCAAATAATGTTCTTTTTAGCAACATCATATGACCCCTTTAACAACCAATACTTGCTCCCTGGATTTGATTTTTAGGAGCAGTTTGACCTTTATGATGGCAGGTTTAGTTTCCCTTCATATTTGATTAGTTAGAAACCAAATAAGTATATATCAAAGATATTATTGTAAAAAATTATTACAAAAACTAAAATTAGAAGTAAAATATATCTGACTAAAGTAAAACGTAACAGTAATAGGAGTTTGCAAAAGAGTAAAAAAAAAAAGTGTGCTAGAATATGTATAAAAACTGAACAAAATTACATAGGATGACTTTAGTTTTCATAGTTTCAAACAGTGCTAGGAGGTCGAAGTACGATGTACGAAACACGATTTTCCGTATTCTGTGCTATTAAACAATAAATGGCTGTCTGATTGGCATGTAAAATATCTAACTGCTCAAATGTTCTCATTTTCCGAAGGTACAAACAAACTAAAAATGATTTATGAACAAAAACTGAATAAAACTATACTGAAATTCACAATATACAACAACATACACTTCTAAAGCTACCAATTTACAAAACTAGAATAGGTGTAGAATTTAATTTGATATTACTGTATAGTATATAAAAATTTAGATGAACAGTGAAAGCCTGTGGCATTTTTCTCACTTTTGTTTAAATTTTAGGCCTGACCTCCTAATTTAAGGTAACTTTTGACTTTTACTCTTTCTAATTTCTCTTATTTAAAATAAAAAATCTTTATCTTTGTTTTTTGTTTAAAGTCTTGTTTGTTTTTTACAGCTCCTGCCTCTGTAATAAAACTCCATGCTGAGAATCAGGGTCAAATGGACAGTCTTCTTCTGAGCTGGATGCGTGGTCCTGGAGGACTTACTGGATATTCAGTCACTGTAGATGGCTTTGAACAGCGGTTGGGTCCAGAGAGCACACAGGTGGTCTTCCATGGGCTGGTTGCTGGTCGGCTTTATTCTGTTACCCTTCAGAGCTGGAGTGAAGATCTGACCAACACTACGACTGCAGTAGGGCGTACAGGTCAGTGCTGCTGCAAATCATAAAGCCCTGAAGTTATGTTTCACATTATAACTGATCTAATGCCATAGTGATGGGCCAATTTCATTTCAAATGTTTCTATATTTGAAACAGTTTGCAGTATGCAACAGTATGCCTGTGCTGAAAATCTTTTTCCATGCTGCAGCTCTCAGCTTTTCTTCTGTGATTCACTTTCAGTGGATAATGACTGTAGTGTAAAATTTGGATCTTTTCCTTATTCAAAGCATCATACAAGCTGAAAAGACTTGAAATATAGTGTCCAAGTCATATCAATGAATCTTTTTGAAACTCAGCAGCTAAAGCACAGCTTGGACATTTTGCTAAAACCAATGCACTACAGTTCTGAAAGCTAAATTACTCCTATTATATCGCCACAGTTCCTGCACCGCCATCATCGGTGTCTGTCAGCAGTTCTACCGGCTCAGTGGAGATAAAGTGGCATGTCCCAGTTTCAGGAGACTATGATGATTTTGAAGTGACATGGTTTCCTCAGGACACACTTCATGTTTCTGTTCTTCATCCCACTTGGCGTACACTGGAAGGACTTTGTCCAGGGCGGCTCTATAATATCAGCCTTCTGACTGTCAGTGGGACGAAACATGGTCCTGTGACCTACAGCAGTCCTGTTTACCACACAATCAGAGTCCGTGAGTACAGATTCACCGACCACTTGAGATCACACCAGGATTGCTAAAAGTCACTTGTGGCCAGTTTTACATCCTACAGTATTTAAACAAATGAAAAGAATTATTAAGTATTGAAGTATGTGATTAACGCGATGAAAAAACACTAAAATCTAACCATGATAGAATAGTAAAATCTAAAAACTTGTGGGTTTTGTTTTGTATATGGCTCCTTAATTGCAGAATTTTTGGAACCGGCTTGATTCCAGTTTTTCAGAATCATTTCAGCGAGTCAATTCCAAATGAACTGTTTTGAGGCCTAAGAAAAATGTCTGTATTTGCTCAAATGGTTTAGTTCAAATTATCCGTATTATGAAAACTCACTCACTTGAAAACACTCACTGGTCACCACTTGCTGGTGTAATGATGTATCCAACAAAAAAGAGTAACCGAATGAAGCAAATAATGAATCTGATTGAGTGTTTTTGCTGAAGAAAACAAGTGTCAAATCACAATGAATCATTCCCATCCCAGCTCTTCTGGAATATGTAGTAGTTTGGTAACTAAGATAATGTACACACTCTGGATCAACTTCCAGCCATAGTATATGGGAGGTTTGAGTGTCGATAAAAATATGTATAAAATTGGGACCAATTTAAGCAAAATGTGGGCATGAATTGAAAGCATTCTATCCTGGGTTTTGAAGGACACTAGCTGTTTCTGCTTTCTTATTCAGTTCATAATGAAGAAAATTACGGAAAAGTGTGTGTGAGTTCTGGATTGTGGTTTTAGATACACAAACATGACAAGCAAATAACTTTTATCCAAAGTGACTTACAAGCAAGACCATTGGTTTAAGTGTGTGGAGTGGTTAAAGGCTTGCATTAGAAGGGTGTCTTTAGGTGCTTCTTGAAAGATGTGATGTTCTCTGCAGTTCAGTTGGAGGTTGGCAGCTCATTCCACTAGGGAGGAGCAGAGAGGGTGAAGGTTTTGGAGAATGACTTTGGGGAATATTTACTCACAAAAGTGTTCATAAGAGACTCCTTTTCTCTATAGCTCCACATCCAACTCAAAACATCCACTGTTTTCCCCTGAGCTCCACCTCTGTCTCCTGCTCCTGGGCACACCCAGAGTCTGATTACGACTCTTATGTTGTGGAATGCTGCAAACAAGGGTCCAGGATGCCAGTGTACACCTACACACTGGGACATGATGCTCTCTCGCAGCATTTTGACAGGCTGGAACCCTTTAGAAACTACACCATCTATATCACAGTGATGTCTGGAGACAAGCAGAGTCCAACCACAAAAACCAGCGTTATCACTATGATCGACAGTAAGTGAGCTTGCTCTTTCTTCTTGAAATCACCAACTCTCACTGAAAATGAATGACTTATGGTCACTTTGTTGCTCTACATCACTGCATAATGTGATCTCAACATGGCAGCCATTATGAGGAGTGACCCACTCCATGAAAATAAAACAACTTTTTCTAGAATACAAAATTTTAATGAAAGCATTACATAGGTAAGGCTGGAATATGATATATGACTTTTGCACGGATTTCTGCCCAGATTTTCAGTCGATTCGAAGGCTGTCAATCATGTTTGATAGTTTGATAGAATTTTAGAATGCATATTGTTTTCATTTGTCATGCATTTCCTAGCAACAAGGCACACTTTTCTTTGTGAGTTTGCTGCTTTTGGAACAATTTAAAAAAGTCTAGTACTGTGTTATCTTCAGTCGTTTAGTGTATGATGCCCAGTGTTTCTCTTTAACCATTTACAAAGTAAGCAGGTGTATTATGGCAAGTGTTTTAAAATCTGTTCCATATTTCGTGAAGTTGTGAAGTGTATTTCAGCTTTTAACTGACTAATTATATAAAGAATTCTACTAATATATAATTTAGATATACCTAAGTTGCCGAAATGCTACGACAGCATCTCAAGAGGTCCATATTTGTTTTTCAGGGCCCCCTGTTCCACCGGTGACAGTACGGGTCAGTGAGCAGTCCACGATCATCAACCATTTCACCATCCTGTTTAAGTTCAACTGCAGCTGGTTCAGTGATGCTAATGGAGCTATTCGTTTCTTCACAGTAATTGTCACTGAGTCAAACGGTACCAATCATTTTTAATCTCAGTTTCTTCAACTGAGTTTAGCAGCATTTATGCCAATATTATTGCTATTTGGGGGATAGTTCACCCAAAAATGTTAATTCTGTCATATATTACTATAAGATATTTTTGATGGAATCTGAGAGCTGTCTGACCCTGCATAGACGGCAACGCAACAGAAATGTTCCCAAGTCCAGAGACGTAGCAAGGAGATTGGTAAAATAATCCATGTGACATCAGGGGTTCAACCGTAATTATACGAAGCTACGAGAATACTTTTTGTGCGCAAAAGAAAAAAACAACAACTTTATTCAACAATTTGTCCACCCTGTAGCGCCATTTTGGAGAATATCAGCTGGACGTAAACAGCGTATGCCGTTCTGTGTTAGCTGCGTCACACGGATACGCTGTTTTCGTTCAGATCAAATCACAACAACATAGGAAACAGATCTGGTGTGACGCAGCTGACACAGAACAGCATACGTTGTTAACGTCCAGCTGATATTCTCCAAAATGGCGCTACAGGGTGATGCGGAGGAGACGAATTGTTGAATAAAGTCGTTTTTTGTTGTTTTTTTGCATACAAAAAATATTCTCGTAGCTTCGTAAAATTATGGTTGAACCCCTGATGTGACATGGATTATTTTACAGATCTCCTTGCTACGTCTCTGGACTTGGGAACATTTCAGTTGTATTGCTGTCTATGCAGGGTCAGACAGCTCTCAGATTACATCAAAAATATCTTAATTTGTGTTCCGAAGATGAACGAAGGACTTACGGGTTTGAAACGACATGAGGGTGAGTAATTAATGACAGAATTTTCATTTTTGGGTGAACGAAGCCTTTAACTCTGTAAAACTGAATCCAGTCTTGTTTCATTTCATTTACAGATGTTGATAATATCCTCCCAGAGCAAAGACATCCTTTGCCATCTTATCTAGACTACAGACAAAACCGCTCCATCAAAGCATACCAGACCGGCTACTTTCATAGCCTGTGTGCCAAGGGATCTGACAGCAAGATCCGTGTTTTTGAGATAAACCTCGGAGCAGGGATGAAACGTCTAGGGGGAGCTTGCAAATGGGATCCAGAATCTATCCAACATGGAACGCATTTCTGTGATGGGCCGCTCAGACCCAGAACCTCATATCGGTACTATTGAATAGATTTATGTAATATTTGTTGTATTACCTTACATTGAAGTTTGTAATGTTCATCCATCTCAATGTCAGTGTGTTTTATTAAAAAGAAGATTGTCTTCATATTTATATATAAAAATTGTATGCTGCAGCATAACAAAATTGATCATAAGTATTTAAAAAAAATGCTAGTGAATATCATACCTAAACTGTCATTATTTATTCACTCTCATATTATTCAAAACGTTCATCCATCTCAATGTCAGTGTGTTTTATTAAAAAGAAGATTGTCTTCATATTTATATATAAAAATTGTATGCTGCAGCATAACAAAATTGATCATAAGTATTTAAAAAAATGCTAGTGAATATCATACCTAAACTGTCATTATTTATTCACTCTCATATTATTCAAAACCTGATTGACGTTCATTCGTCTGTGGAACATCAAAGGAGATGTTTAGAATAATGTTCTTGGTGTTCTTTTTTGTACAGTGACAGGGAATGTTGATGGGTTCTGTCAAGCTCTAAAAATGACCAAAAAGTGATTACGCTAAAATAATACAGCATTAAAATATGATATTAATGTGAATGTTTGGAGTGATATGAATATGAGTAAATGAGGACACTTTTTATTTTTAACTGAAATAATTTTCAAATCAGGTTTAAGATGTGTAATTCTAAATATTCTTACTTTACTGTCTCAGATTAAGTGTCCGTGCCTTCACTCAGTTGTTTGATGAAGAGAACAAAGAATGTGCGCATCCCCTTTACACCAACACTTACCTTTCCCTCCCATTATTAACTCAATCAGGTAAGACACTGATGTTTTTTTAGTGTTATGAATCAGCAGGACAGTTGAGTTTAGGATTGTTGAGATGAGAACATGACACAGGTCAGATTCAAACCAGTTCCCCATGTGCAATACCACTGTGCCATGACTCCAACCTATTTTTTATTAAGTAGTGTAATTTCTCATGTTTTTGTCATTCAGCACCACGAAATGGCCTCACAGGAGGAATCACCGCTGCTACGTTTCTAGTCGCCATGATGCTCGCTCTGACTGCCTTACTCATTTACAGAAAGAGGGCTCACAAAATGTGAGTACACACAAACACTTTTATTAACACACAATGTTTGTTACTGTGCTGATGTTTATTTGTGTCTGTTCTTCAAGAGCCGTGCAGGAAAGTCCAGTGATGAAAATGTGCATGTGGAAGGCGCTGCCTACCTCACAGATGTGCTCAGGCATAAGAAGGTACCAAAATACTTAAATTCTCTTTATTTTAATGAGAGAAAAATAAATAATGATATTTATAAATCATATTTTGTACGACTTAATATGTTTAGCATATTTTGAGGCTAAACTCCTCAAAAGCAAGTTTGTTCATAAATGACAATTGCAGCATTTATTTTTAAAGGGGTAAATATGATGTTGCTAAAAAGAACATTATTTTGTGTATTTGGAGTAATGAAATGTGTTTATGCGGTTTAAGGTAAAAAAACCCCACATTATTTTACACATACTGTACATTATTGTTTCTCCTCTATGACCCGCCTTTCTGAAACGCGTCGATTTTTACAAAGATCATCGTTCTGAAAAGCAAGGTGTGCTGTGATTGGCCAGCTATCCAGTGCGTTATGATTGGCCGAATACGTCAAGCGTGTGACGGGAATATTACGCCCCTACCATACTGTGATGATGCCCTGTCAGGCCGGAGCGATGATTCAAAAACACGAAAACCCATTATAAACGAGGCATTCGTTGCATCCAGTGGAGACATAATTATGGATTATAATGACTTATACTGTCTTTTTACGTGTCGCGTTGCATTGCGCCGCATAAACATAAAACCATGTCTGCATTTGTGATCGGAGAAATGACAAACAACAAGCTCTACTCTACACTGCCCAAAAAACTAGCTTTAAATATAAAAAATGTAAAAACTCTTTAAATATAAAAAAAACTTACTTACAGCCTGGGAGTCAGAACAGCCGGCATTGTAGTCTACTCTACCAGGATCAGGAAACAGTCCTCCATAAAATGCGCTGCACACATCTGAATATTTGGGTTGAAGTTTTCTGGAGCAGTGTTGCAAATACAACTTAACCACTGATTTCTATTCGTGTCCATTTTTGGAAGGCCAAACAAAGTAGTTTCGCTTTCACAACAAAACACAGCGTCACACACGGTGGCCTAGAGTGAGCGGCGGCGGCCTAGAGTGAGCAGAGGCTGGGGGCTAGAGTGAGGAACGGCCGGAGGGCTAGAGTGAGCAGAGGCGGTGGGCTTGAGAACGGCGCGACCGGCGGATTAGGCGAAGGAGGGTCCGGAGGGCTTGCGGCAACCACATGTGACGACCCCGGGCTGGAATCCGCTTCGTCCACGGTGAAAGCCGATCTGGTGATCCACAGCGCAAAGTTGTTGTATTTTCTCAGCAACCAGCACGGTTCAGCTCCAGACATGATGAAGCCATATCGTCCTCTTTTGGAAGACCAAACAAAGTAGTTTCACTTTCACAACGAAATACACAGCGCCTTCACGACATGGCGGAGTCAACAACAATACTACAATGAGAATAAAAGTTACGCCTTCTTTCTTTGGGCAGCGTTATGTAAATCTTCCCACATCGAGACGTAGATATGTGGGGGCGTGTTAGAACGAGCCGTTTTAGGTAGGCGTGGCTGACTCCTAACTTTTATAAAGAATATCTCTTTGGATTTGAGACTTTAGTCTTTGCAACTTTACAGATCTTCTTTATGCACCAAGAGCTTATAACACTCCAAAGAGAAAGGAAAATTTTAAATCGCATCATATGACCCCCTTTAACATTATTATTATACGCATGAATGTTATTGATTTAGAATGTTCACTATTATGCACTAGCCCAGTCCAAGCAGCCCAGTTTGAGTCTCATCTTGCTAAACTTCAAGCTGATTGCAGTTACCTTCTATCTGAAGAGTTTGAGGTAATACACTGCATATAACAAAATCAAACACTAAATATCTAAGTATCAAAGCAGTAACAGAATAGTAGACTTGATAGCCTAGTCAAGACATCCTTCCACTTTAATCTAAATAAACATTTATCAGCAAATAAGCTGAACTTTATCATCTGAATGCATTATTGATTATTGCATCAACATTTACCCAATGTTGAAAAGGGCCTAAAGGACGTGGGACGGACCCAAACTCAGAATGCTGCACGTCTACCTGGGAACCGAAGCAAAAATCGCTACAACAATATACTGCCCTGTAAGTAAAGACAAATGATACTGTAAGTAAAATACAAGTATTATATATTTACATCTCAAGGTATACTAGACTACTACTTATACTAGTATAGTTAGTACTGGTTTGGGATGCTAAGTGGTGCTTTGGGGTCTTTTTCAAATGCAAAGCAGCTTGAATCTAAACTTGTAATTTTTTATTTTTCTTTTTGTAACAATTTTTTATTAAAAAGTTATATATTATATAGTATATATATATATATATATATATATATATATATATATATATATATATATATATATATATATATATATATATATATAATTAATAAACCTTTTATTTGTGTGGTCAAATTAAACAAGGACTACTTGTAGTTTATTCCCTCTGCTCCCTCAACCTCCTTACTGATTAACTACAGACGACTCAACGCGGGTAAGACTGTCTTACTTGGAGGATGACCCCTGTTCAGACTACATCAATGCTAACTGCATACCTGTGAGTTGTTCTTCATATGATTGTTCAATGGCTTGGCTAAAGACTGGGTGGAATTGTAATTATATATATATATATATATATATATATATATATATATATATTCATTCCAGCTTTCCATGATAATAGTAAGGTTACTAAGATCAAGTGACTAGTATTCATCTGGTCATGTGATCTCACAGTACAATCACTACTTTTGGTTTGAAACTTGCCCTCATGTCATTTCAAAGCTGTGTGATGTTCTTGCTTCTGTGGAACACATGGGAAGATATTATCTTTTTTTTTGACCATACAGTGAAAATAAGTGAGGTCCAAAACACAGAGGTGGGGGACTCGAGTCACATGACTTGACTCGAGTCTGAC